ATCACTGATCAGCTTACGCACTTGCTCGATCAGGGTGATATGATAGGCTTTTTAATGAATTAGATACGATTTGCAAACACAAAATTATAGGATTACAAATTCTATTATCTCATCTTACCAATGATAGATTTTTAAGCAATAGATAATCATCATCATAAAAATTAAAACTTCAAGACTGGTTGATCTTTACATATCCCAATTACGGAAAATTCCTTAAGTGAAAGTAGATAAAGTTTGAATTGAATTTGAACCAATCATAGAAACCTAAATAGCTTACAACTTCGATCTTGGGAAACTCTTTTTGAACAATCCGAATCTCTTGAACAACTTTAATGGAGAAACCCCCAGTATTCCTAAACTTAGATCCCAATCTTTCATGACCATAGTTGAATCAGAAGTAGATCTTCTTTTTTGATTTCCCAAACCAATGGGTTGCATCTCATGATTCACTGAACTTTCTTGATCATGATCATGATCACGATGATTAATCCAAAATTTTGAACCAATTTTGATTTTCCAACTTTGATGTTTTTCTAATCTTAAATGTTTTGAAAGTTGTGTGATTGTACAACTCGGATTTAATCCTTGATTAGATGGTGGGATACGTAATGGACCTTGACTTGAAGCTGCTTTAAATGTTAAATCAGTCATATAAATTTCATAAATCGATCGTTTACTGCTACGAATGATTGGAGTGATTGGAAATTTGTTAGAGGATGATGAATCCAATATGATTGGTTTGGATTCACTTGGACTGGCTTTTGGTGATTCGGGTTTTATTGATCTTGATGAGTCAGGTTTCTTGGTTTCAACATATGGAATTTTAACACAAATCAATGTACTAGATCTTTTCATGTTCTCCTTTGGGCTTGATGATGATCTAGAAATCTCGGGTGTAATAGAACAACTCGAATCTCTTTGTTTTCCTTTATCCACTTTCATTGTAGAACTTCTTCTCGATTTCTTTCGACTAGATTCTTTAGTAAGTTTATCAAATCTGATTTTCTTCTTCTTTGGTTTATAATCCTCTTCTTCATCTCCTGTTTCAGTCAATCTTCTTTCTGGTGAATGACTAGATGAATCAGATGAAGTTTGATAATGACGTGCAGCAGATTTTCGAAAAGCTTCAATATGAGATCTTACAAATGAACTTTCTAATGAATCTTCAATCTTAGGTATCAAATTCGTTTCTTGAGTTCTTTGACTTTGTGATGGTGTTGGTAAATTTGAAGAAAGTTGTGGTAAAGATGCACAAATCAGTCGATGGTTTAAAGGAACTGAAAGATTTGGGATCAGTCTTGATGATTGGTTTAATGGGTTTATTGGTGTAGAAGTAGAGAATGGTGGGCTAGGAAGTAGAGCTCTGATAGGACTCAGGTTAGGAATGATTTGAACACTAGAGAAGTAGGTATTTGAATCAAAGTCAGATGAAAATTATTTCAAAAGGGAGCTCTGATTTCAGATATGACTCACCAAATGATGACAGCCTGTAAACAGAAGTCAAAGATGTAGAGCAAAGTTAAAAGAATGATATGAGAAGTATGTCAAGTCTTACTCTGGTATAGTCTATAGAGAAGAAATCAAGATAACTAACCCTATCAACAATAGAACATAATTCATTAGATGGAAGTCTAGTTCCTAAAACAAAAAAAATGTAAAAAAAAACAACAAAGAAATCATGAATTCTTTTTTTCAAAGCTTAGTACAAAGATGGAAAGCAAGAAAAGAAAACATACCATCTTGTTCAAGAATAAGTCTATGAGTAGGAGAACTTGAAGAGATTGATGTATTGAAATCTAAATTTGAAGTTTCAGAAATGATAGTAGATTGAATTTTTTCAATAAGTGATGAGATTAACCAATTATCTTGAATTGAAACTGTTGCTTTAAGTTGAGGAATCGGATCGGTTGTGATAAATCGACAAATGTGTTGAGAACTTTTAAATGTTGATGATGGTGTTGGTTGTGGTTGTGGTTGTGATTGAGAGATGGAGTATGATGGATCTTGATCAGTTGGTGTTGGTGTTGGTGTTGGTATCATTTTGGTTGGTTTGGATTTCGAAAGAACGAGTTCGAAATTGTTGATGAAAAGTTAAAACTTAGCTTAACACACTTGAACTTGGCCCTGGTCATTGGCTTTGGACGAGCTCGAAGTTCGAACGGCGGATGTTTTCAGATTCATACATCTTTTCTCATTTCTTTCAACTTTTGTTCAGCTATCATTACGGTGTACGTATAGACTCATACTGACATATAAACATGACATGGGTTACACGTGTAATTTTTCCATGTCATGTTTGGTCGAAATTCATCCCCAAGCCAAATACCGTACGACACGACTCATACTGACACACATCGACATGGATTTTTGATTTACAAATCCCGTGTTGTAACATGAGTCATCTCGTACATTGTACCGTCCGGGAAGTGTCATACCGACACAACATGACACCAAATGTGAATTTCTCCAAAATATTGCATTCGGATCGGACTATCCGATTTTTGATGTAACTTTCTCTGCAATCAAGAGTTTTAAAAAAAAATTAAAAACGCAATCCTAGCTCTACAGTCAACTATCTTTATTCAATAATCCATCTACATCATTCTTACTCTGTCTTGCTCTTCCACAAATAATGCCAAAACAAAACAACATAGCTATCATAAACACAGTACTGGAAAATGGTTTCAACGACGGACTCACCATACGAGAAATACAAGATAACCTTGTGAAAGAAGGAATCACAATGACTGAGAGAACAATCTATCGACATCGTAAACTTTTGGATCACAACAACACCAAGCCGCCTGTTCGCAAGGATCAGCTTGAAAGACGTAATGCCATCAGCAAACACTTCCATGATGGCAAATCAATCGAAGAGATGCTCATATGCTTGAAGAATGAGGATAATATTATCATCAGCCAATCCACCTTAGCTCGTAATTGCAAAGAAATGAACTTAACACGCAAGGTTGATGATATCAACAAAGGAAAGTACACAGAAGAAGAGATAGGTCAGCTCATTACCAAGATCCAGTCAGAAAATGCAGAAGAAGCTGGTATTCGTTCTATCAAAAACATTTTACTCAAGGAACACAATGTCCACATCCATAGGTCTGCTCTTCACTCATATCTTCAACATGATGCATACTTACCTTTTTACAAACAAACAGAGACCGTCTTGCACAACTGTTGCGGCAAATTGATCCGGAAGGAGTCTCACGTCTCCAAAGAGCAGTCCTAGTTCGCCGTAATTTCAAATGTCCAGGTCCAAATCATATATGGTCAGCAGACGGTCATGACAAGCTCCAGAAGTGGGGTATTAGGATATACGGCTTCATTGATGCTTGGTCTTGCCGAATCCTGGGTCTCTTTGTACATGTCACCAATAGTGACCCCCGTCATATTGACATTTACTATCTTCAATGTGTTAAAAAGTATGGTGGTGCACCACACACCGTGTCCGGGTAGTGTTCGCTCGTCGACGAGCGCGCACGACTTCCCTTTCTGCCTCAAAGGGAGTTGGTGTGCGCTCGTCGACTAGCAAAGCCTACACAGACACGGTGACAGTATCTATATACTGATCGAGGTACTGAGACCGGAAAGATGGCAGCCAGTCACTCTGCATTTGTTTGTATTCACGGTGAAATGACTGAGGAACAAGCATTGAAACGACACAAGTTTACAAAATCACTTCGAAACCAGAAGATAGAGTGCTTTTGGAGTCAACTAATGCGACGACATAACCGCGGTGTTGTTCAAAGGCTATTTGATTCACTTGAGGCGGGTGTCTTTGACACTGACATTCAACTGGATTGGTACGTGATACTCATATTCTTTCTATGTTGAAAGCTGACTGATAATTGTTTTGAAGGCTTCTGTTCCTTTATTTATGGATTCCTTTTATTCAGAAGCAGCTGGATATATTCACTGGAAGATACAACCACAGCAAACGCAGAAAGGATCCTCACTCCTCCCTTCCCTGTGGTCACAGTGCTGACTTTTTCTACAAAAACCCTGTTGAGTTGTTTAATGGACATGATGGATTAATTCGTGTCCCCGCTGAAGACATAGATAGTCAAATTATAGATGATTATCCCGACATACATAGTTTATTTACCTACACACCTGATTGGTTTTCATCAATTGCAGATACCATCATGCCCACCTTGAATCTCTCGCACAAGAAGCTCAAGTACTCCAACATATGGATTGCATTTCAATTTATGCGTAATGCTATGTTAGATCACAACTGGGAAGGCACTCCCTTTGAAGGAAAGGATCTGAATGCTTTGGGTACTTGAATGTGAACATCTTGAACATTTTTATTTGAAAACTCGTGGTCTATATTTATCTCCACCACAATCATACCTTGAAGTATAGGAAGAGAACAACTACTGATTTATAATTTGATAAAAGGAGACAAACGTTTTAAAAAAATAGAAAAAAATATGAATCAAGTGGAATTACAAGGATTTCAATTTTGCTTTGAATGCTTCCATCTCATCCTTCTGCTTCTGACTTTTTATCATATCACATTTACGAATCAACTCATCTGCATAATTCTCAACCAATGTTTCTCGATAAATTTCCCACTTGTCATCACTCCTGTTCCCTCGCATGTCAGTGATCTGGTGTTATGAACTGGTTCTATTTCACTTGAGTGACATATTCACATTACATGTCACAAGCTCGAGAACCATCTTATAGTTGTAGATACATTGCCTGTACAGATTTTCCCTCATCCGACAATCCACATAGGAAGACTGGTAATAGATACAAATCCTCACCAGAACTCCCTTGACCCTCGTCGCCGAAAACCCCCAAGTCTGTCCATAACATATTGTCGGATCTATAGACGAGACTCAAGGACTATAGATAGATCACCAAGAAGAAACAAGTAGAATTGACTTAAATCGAAAGAAAACCGAACCTCAAGATTCAGAATACTAGCGAATCTCGACCTCATTAGAAAACCTTATCTAGATCTCAGAAATTCAAAGTTGAAAAGACCCAAGAAACTATTTGAAATCGAAAACCTTATTAACTAATCTGCATACGCTGAAACCGAATCCACCAGAACCTTATCTTACTTACTAAAAACTCTGTCGATCCCGACTGTGATCCCTGGACTAGCAAACGCAACCACGTCTCCATCTTACCGTGCTCCTTTAGAGGAGGAGGACTCTGATAGTGAAACTCTGATCCCTTTTCTCGACGCCGATTCTAGCCTTACCGGTAGCGAGATCGATATGTCTGACACCAACATGACCTCTCTCGAAGACATACAACGCAAGCTTGCGGAGCTTTCCACCTCATTGGCTGAAGAACGCCTGATGCGAGGACAAGCTGAAGCCAGATACCAGCAGTCCGAAGCTCGTTTAGCGGCGTTGGAATCCCGAGGCCCATCTGCACCTGCTGCAGCCACTCAACCACCCACTGCGCCACAGCCACCACCAGCTGAACCGGTCCTGAAGGGCCCCAAAGTCTCGACGCCCGATAAATTCAACGGCGCTCGAGGCGAACCCGCAGAGATCTTTGCGAGTCAAGTCCAGCTCTATATGCTGGCACACCCCTACCTCTTCCCCGACGACCGAAGTAAGGTGGTTTTCTCGCTGTCTTACCTCACGGGAGCAGCCAGCAGTTGGGCGCAACCCTTGACAAAGGAGTTATTCGACCCCGCTACCGCCCACCTCGTAACCTTTGAACGCTTCGTTACAAATTTTAAAGCTATGTATTTCGATACTGAGAAGAAATCGAAGGCGGAACGCGCGCTGCGAAACTTATCGCAGAAGACCACCGTGGCCGCGTATACCCATGAATTTAACATTCACGCAACTTCTACTGGCTGGGAAACTCCGACGCTCATTAGTCAATACGAGCAAGGTTTGAAAAAGGAGATTAGAGTGGCAATGGTTATGACGCAAGAGGATTTCACGTCAATTGAACAAATCACTAATTTAGCTATCAAGATAGACAGTAAATTACACGGCGCGACCAACCCAACCTTCCATACGCCAAGCACGAGTGCAGGAATCTCAGACCCCAATGCCATGGACTTATCAGCCGCCTACGTTAGATTGTCCGAAGAGGAACGAGCACGACGTATGCGAGCGGGTTTATGCTTCCGCTGCAATGGCCAGGGTCACATCTCCAGCGCATGTCCCGATCGTAGAGCTAGTAGGAAAGGGAAGGGTCGAGGTGGTTATCAATCAAAAATAGCTGGATTGGAAATTAAAGTCGCAGAGTTGAGTAATCAGAGGGTGAATCATACCAGTAGTTTAGAAGGAGTAGGACGAGCTGAAACTTCAAAAAATGGAGAAGCTCAGGATTGAAGGTTGTGCCCATCCTGAGCCACCTGGAGAATTTGTCATCAATTAATGTGGGATCTAGTAGAATGAACTTGTGCAATACAAACGACCCGCGCATTTTTTTACACACCACATTATCCATGTCCCAAATTCCCCGAGCCACACCGTCCCAAACATTTCCCGCTACGTTCCTCATTGATTCAGGTGCTACGCACGATGTGCTCAGTGAATCATTTGCCTACCACGCTGGCTTGATAGCCGGTGCTGATCGACATGACCAATTGATCACTGGATTCGACGGCTCTGAGAGCCGATCTTCCTTCAAGACCCACCTTTTTATCAAATCCGACCCATTACCGACCCCATTCATCATTACAAGACTCAAAGACTCGTACGACGGCATACTTGGCATGCCATGGATCAAGAAAAACTTTCACCTGATTGACTGGAGTAAAAGTATGGTACACCCAGCCGAGACTCACGTTGCAACCACTTCATTGGTTTCGTATTGGCCGAAAACACCCTTATCTGGCCACTCTTTGGACCCCATGAGGGACGCTAGGCACAATTACGAGGGGATGTGTGTCAATTCTGACACGTTAGCATCCCCGCAATGTGAGTTCGAGAGTCCAGTTAATCCTAATCACCTTGAAACAGATGACAACCCTCTATCTCCCGATAGTTCCCCCCTTATCACGATTACACCCACCACGAACAACGAAAACCACGAACA